GGTGGTCAGGCCAAGGGAGCCTCCGCGAAGGCTGACCAAGGGCCTGGAGCCTGGCTGGGAGAAGCACTGGGAGCGGACTGGAAGGCTCCTGGCTGGAACCCTGGGACAAGGCGGCCGTTCCTCACGTGCTCTGGTAGACCAGACCACCAGAGACCAGCCCTCTCCATGAAGCAGCTGCTCCCCCAGGAATAAACCGAGTCCCAAACCCACAAAACCGCGGGCTCTGAAAACCGTGTACGTAAGAGGCCCGTCCTGGCTTTCAGAATGGGGGACAAATATGCCTTCTCCCTCAAAATTTAAAAGAGAACCTTTTTTTTTCTTAAGGTTTTGGGGCTCAAATATATAACATGTTTTCTAAATGTCACCTGAAAAAATGGAAAGCAGAGCCAGACCATTTTTCAAAAGAAAAATACTGAAGGGAGTCTTGGCTGGCCAGATAGGAAAATGGAATGCAAAGATTTGCTGCCTCGGCGCTTTCGGGCACAGTCCTTTTAAAAGGTTAGGTCAGGGGGCGCCTGGGTGGCTCAGTCGTTAAGCATCTGCCTTTGGCTCGGGTCCTGATTCCAGGGTCCTGGAATCCAGCCCCATGTCGGGCTCCCTGCTCTGCAGGAAGCCTGCTTCTCCCTTTCCCTCTCCCTCTGCTTGTGTTTCCTCTCTCACTGTGTGTGTGTGTGTGTGTGTGTGTGTGTGTCTCTGGAAAATAAATAAATAAAAATCTTTAAAAATAAATAAAAGGTTAGGTCGGACACTACAACGTCAAAACAGGGTCTTTGTGTGTCTGTACAGCAGGGACGTAGGCGCTTCCTGTTTCCTCTTATGCTGGCAGGGAGAAGAAACAGTGTTTCAACTGGAGGAAATCCATACTCCATCTCTATCTGGATGGCTCATAAAGCAGTAGAGATGATGCTTACTGCTGGCAATTTCCCTGTCGTAATGACATTTCCGGCCCCTGCGTTATTGTGTAATAATAATGAATGAATAATGAAATAATGACTAATGAGAAGGGGCTCACCTACCCCCTTTCATGCACCTGTTCAAGGGAAAACCGTTCTTTGGAATTTCTCCAGCACTTGGAGAAATCCGTTTTGGTTTGTTAAATTAAGTCCTGCTCTCTTGAAAACTTAGAACCATGTGTTAACACGGAGACTTAGCTGGTTATTAGGCGACATGCTTGAAATTAATAAAATCTTGTAGTTTCAAGGAGAGGCGGCTGAGAGGAGTAACCTGTACACTTGGCTATTAGCCCTCCCCACATCATTGCAGAAACCAGTTGCTCTCTGTCCACCAGGATTTTAGGTTTCCCATCATCTCTTCTCCTCAACTGAAAGTCCGCTTTCTTCTCAGGTCGGTAGAAGATGATGATCACAATGACTGTGACCACTGATTGAGCCCCTATTCTGTGACAGCCTTTGTTGTGAGAACTTTCCAGAAGAGCCACCACCACACACCTGTGAATGTTGCCTATTTCAGCAATGGGGAAACCGAGGCACAGAGGCTTTGAGTGGCTTGCCCAAGGTCGCAGTACTAGGTAGCGGCAGGCGCGGGATTTGAAACCAGGCAAACTTCCTCACTCGGGAAGTTTCTCCATCAACCACTCCCAGTGCTGCTTTTCTCTGTTTTATTAGTAATCTTGGTCTGTCTATCATTTGATTTTTTTTTTTCAGTCTCTAGAACTGATGGATGTGTTTGGATATGTGGTTTAGAGCCGAGCATAGAGGGAATGACCAGAAGCAGCATGGCCTCGGTATTATCTTCCATTATCTGCCTGTCGTGTGGGGCAGGACCTTTCCAATTCGGATGGCGATGCTTGTCCTCTCTCCCTGCTTCCCCCTTTTGCACCCAGCCCTGCTTCAGTCAAGGTGGCAGGGGGTTCCCCACCCTCTCTAGAGCTGGGAGGCCAGGGAGACCATTCTGAGGCTTCTCCCAGCTCCCATCCCCTTTTCCTCCCACCACTCCCCACCTGTGTTTGGCCAGGAAGCACTTTGTGATCCATCCCATTTGGCTGCACTGACCTCCCTTCTGGAAACATCCTTCAACTGTCCCTCTTTTGTCCACATTTATCGGGGACAGGGCGTGCCTTGTGCCCCCAGGGCAGAATAACAGCAGACACGCCCTGAAATTCCATTAGGATAATCTATCCTGGACAGAGAGTCCCAGCCTACCCTGGGCTCCGCTCGGATGACCAATGGGGTCTATTAGGGCCTGGAGCCTGGCCAGAGGCCACATTACAGCTCACTTACGCGCTATGGAGCGGTCTTGGACACCTTAATGAGGCCGGGGACTTGGTTTTCCCACACGTGTTTGCTTATCCTGCTTCAGAGGCCGCCAAGCTGTGGGGCTGTATGAAACGTTCCCTAATAGCTCATGATTCAGGGGGTTGGCATTTCACACAGTCACCACGGCTTGGAGGCCGTTTTCCTCCAGTGCTCTCAAAATAACCAGGGAATGCTCTACCCTTTTCTTAAAGTTGCATGAGTCTGTTCCTTAAAAATGTGCCCTTTGGAGCTTTTGAGGAAATTTCTGGCATCTCCTGAGTGATTTCGTCTGTGCCTCTGTCCTCTTAGTCCTGTGAGCTGTGTTGGTGGAGGGCAGGATGTCATGTATGGCACGAGAGGTGTCTGCTAATTAAGGTGTGAATTAAACGATGGGTGCCTCGATGGTGCCCGGAAGGCCCTGTGCCAGATGCTGGGGTGGGGAAGGAGACCCACGCCCTTGCCCTCTAGGAGCCAGCCCTGCAGAGTAGGACTGGGTTCCTGCCCAAGAGAAGTTTCATAGGCTCTGGAAGAGCCCCAGAGGGGCGTTTGGATGCAAGTCACCCAAAGATGTTGAATGTGGTTGTGTTAATATAGTCCAGGGGGTCCGGCCACAGGATTTGTTCTTTTGAAAGTTTGTACGCAATGCCATCATCCTGGGCCTGGCAGGGGTGCCTAGGCTGCCAGGGTCCCAATAGACTCTCCATCCTGGGGAAGGAGCTGGGTGCCTTTAGCCAAGATGCTGTCCCTGCCCGGCAGTCCTCTAACCCCAGAGCTGGATGCTTATCATTGGCCCTGCGTGGGGGCTGCTAGAAGGGCTTCCGGAGGTGGCCGAGGGGAGGGTCCGAGCCATGCTAGGTGCCCAGTCTTAGCCAGGCCTGGTGACCAGCGCATGACCTCACATGTGCTGGGGTGGGAGAGACTGGCGGCCACTCCCAGGTAACCAGCGTGTCCTGCTCAGGGTCCTGGACTCTGTTGAAACTGGATGGTGGTTTGGATTTCCCCTGAAAGAGGAGCAAAATCATTCCTCTTTGAGGGATGAGGGAAGCTAGGCCTCCCAGCCCCCTGCCCTGCCCTGTCACTGAGTTCTCCGCTGACCTGGTCTCCTCACAGGTCTTTGTGACCTGGCCGGGGCGGCTGGAGGAGGCAGAAGCCTTGTGATCCCCGAGCTTCCCGCCCAGTGGGCCGAGGGCAGACCTTAAGTGGAACTCGGCCTTCCCACCAAGCCCCGCCCCCGGAGCTGTGGCCGGCCGCCTCTCCAACCCTCAGCTTCCGGCGCAGACCCTTAGAGTCCGACTGCTACCCTCACCCTTCCCCTTATTATCCGCAGACGGCAGAATGTTCTCAGCAGTGGAGGCTATTTGTGTTCCTGGAACCTAAAACGCTGGGTCAGGAGGGTGTGGGATTAATGGGTTGGTGTCCGGTTTCCTGGCTTTGGTGCCAACTGGAAGGGCTGGGGCTACAGCCCTGGTCCCTAGTCTTCCAGAACGTCCACCTGTGTGCACCTCAGCCCCTGCTTCCGTGGTGGGCCCACCCATGGACCCCTTGAGTGGAGTCCCACTCTTGGCTTTTCCCCACGGGGCGGGCCCTCCCTGGCTGCTCTCCACCTGCCTGTGGGGTCCTCGCCCTCGCGGGAATCCCTGCGTCTGAATCAGCGGGAATGGAACTTGGCACCGGTTTGCCCGAACCGCCAGTCCCCGCTTGGATCTGGCGGCCCTGCCCTGTCTCGGTGCCCAGCTCTCCGTGGTTACCGCCATTTCCGAGTGGGCCCTGCTTCTGGCTGTCCTTTGCCATACGTGGTGTACTCCTTGGAACCGAAGGTAGTGACGACTTCCCGCGTTGCTCTAGCGACCGAACAACTGTTGTGCCCGCAGCAGCCGGTGTCCTAGGGGTCTCTCCGTGTGACGGGCCTCCGGTGCTGACTGGTGCTGAGCTGTCCCAGCCCGCTGGCCCCTGCACTCTGTCCTCGGGGCTCCCGGTTGTGCACGGGAATGACAGCTTCAGGGGGAGTCTGCAGTTTCAGACTTCTAGATGTGGCCGAAGGGGTCACCCAGTCAAGTGCTCTTTGCTGTTTTGTTAAAGGAGATAAGGGGATGCTCCTGTGGGTGCCCCGAGGCCCCATGGGGGGGTGGTGGTGGGGGGGGTCTACCACTCTGCCTTTTCCTTGTCTGCCTGACTGCTTTCCATCTCTCTCCTTCCCCTGAGCTCCAAGATGTCCCCAGAGAACCCAGCAAGAAAACCACACATGCCCTCTGGCTGCCTTATTTACAAACAGATGGCAGTCCTTGCTCTGCTCCTAGTCAGCCCCGCAACCTGGGACTCCAGGAGGACCCCAGTGGGGGTTGTAATTGGCCTGGGGCCCTCTGGCCTGGGGTGACCTTCCATGTGTGGGCCCCTCCCTGCTTCCCAGATGAGCCAGACAGACCGCTGACTTCCCCTCCTCGGTCCTCACCCGTCTATGTCCTTCTTCCCCTCATCCTGGGTTTAGAAGGGTTTTCCAGAAGGGCTTGCCTCTCCAAAACTTCCGTAACCCTCACCACTCATTCTGTTCATCGCTCTGCCCAGCCAGGCCCGCTGAGCGGGGTTTGCGTCCCCTCTGGTGCCGTATCTTCAGACACGAGTCCTAAAACACAAGACACTGTGGCACTGTGGTCACCAGCCAAGTACTACATACTGTGACTTATAGCAGCACGTCTCACTCTTCTGTTTCCTGACGAGTTTTTTTTTTTTTTTTAATTATTTTTACAGAGCCTTACTGGAAGGCGAGAGCAATCCAGAGATAATCTTGACCGAACGCATTGAAAACATGCCACAAGGTAAAAATAGAAGAAAAGCCCATTATTTAATTTTAGGATGTTTTCCGTCTGAACAGTTTCATTCTGTTAAATGGTTAAATCGGAAAGTATCATTTGCCTGGAAGAACTGGCGTTAGACAGGATTTTTTTTTTTTCAGGTGAACGTTATTCATCCCTCTCTCAAGTACCAAATAGATTTTATTTAAGGGGTCGTGGTTTAAGTAAGAATGTAAACAGGAATGTGTGGGAAAACGCTTAGGAAACTCATTGATTACTCTGGCCAGTAGGGGGAGGGAGGCGAAGGGGCTGATGGAGACGAGGGGAGGGTGACGGGAGGGGGAGGTGCTGGGCGGGTGCTTGTGTATCCCAGCCTTTGGAGGGACAGCCCTTTACACACCAAAGACTTACAGCTTTAACACAAGTATAGGGTGGTGTGACTCCGTGAAGCATGGAGTCAACATTCTGGAACTTGCTCCCCCATGAGAGGCAGAGGTGGGAGCGGTTACACCATCTGTATTGCCCCGGGTCAGCCTGGGCAGGTCAGGTTCGTGTATGCGGCAAGTGTCCCTGGGAGCCCTGAGGTCCGTCTTGATGGAGGCCGGAGGCTGCAGAATAAAGCTCATATTCCCGGTAGCCGCAGAACCCACAGAACAGGGTAGTGTCCGTTAGAAGGACTCTAGGAACCTGTAGAATGACTTTAGGAAAAAGAAAAAAAAAAAGCTTTTAAAACCCTATGGAATTTGAAGGGCTTTCTGGCTGAGGAAGGACAGATTGAATTACATACAGTACGCTCAGTCTCCGGCTTACTCAGCGGGGTTTCAGTCTCCCTGACTGTTACCATATTCAAAATCGTGGCACTTTGGGAATGCACGTCTTTGGTACTTGAATCCGGAGAACATTTGGTTAACTGCCAGTCTGGATAGATGGCAGATTTAAACAAACAAATAACAAAAAACACTCTTCATCTTTATTTTTCAAAAATTGCAGCCCTCTTAGGTGCTTCACAGCTTTCAAAGGTCACTGGGTTGAGAACTACCGTTTTGGTTCCAGGTATCTGTGACTGGTTCGGATTTGGTTGTGGACAGCATCCGATAAGTTTGCCTTCTGATTTTGCGAGTAAGGCTGACAAAAGCCAAAGATACTGTTCACCCGATTTCAAGGTTTACTTAGCTACATTGTGTACTTGAGGGTACAAAAGTCTTCACTTAGAAGGGAGAGAGGAGAAAAGGGGTAGGGCCAGACTGGGAGGGGAACCAACAGTTTAGGGCTAGGGCTTAATGGATCTCTGCGGAGCTGTGGTTACTGGTCTAGGAAGAGCTCAGCAGGAGGGCTCCTGGGAGCCTCTGTTTCATTCCTTGATTGGTTTGTCAAGCTTCTTAAAGGATACAGAGACAGTATTTGTAAACTAAACTTCGTCTGGCAGTTACAGATTATGCCAAAAGCGAGGAGCGTTAGAAGAAAGAGGACAGGTGATGAAATCTTTCATGAAGCTTTGAGCTTCCAGATCATTCTCTGTCCTGTATGATATACATACCCGTTAACTATTCACTGAGTACATGTACAGATGTGTTCCTACATAGTGAATTTCTCAGTGCTTATGGAGACGCTCATGTTTCTCCTGTAATATGGTCTAGAATAATCCTGGCCACTTGCCCACGAGGTGATAAAATCTGAAACCAGTCTGTCATCTTCCATATTTCTCTGTGGACCTTAATTAAAAACCAGACATTTCCTGCACTTTTCCAGGGATTCATCTTCTGGAGCGTCTCTGTTCAGGATTAGTATGTTGATTTGAAAAGAGGAATCTTCATAGAAGATGTCCTGGCCTGGCCTCTCTCCTGTGTCCTGGGATCTGTCCTCAAGGGGCCCCTGGCCTTGGCTGCCATGACAGGGACACCAAGCTGGGGGAGTAGGCTTTCCCTGGCTCAGCCAGATGGGGTGTGGCAGGCACCAGGGGGCGCTCTCTGGGCACCTCTAATGACCAGCTGCCACTCCGAAGAGTGGGTCCCCTAGTGGTGGAGTTTGGGCACGCCCAGGGTAGCACCCTCTGTGGGTGACCCCAAGCCAGGCAGGGAGCCCCATGGTCGGCCTCCCACCCCCAGGATTCTGACATTAAAACAGTCCGTAGTGCTGGTGCCTGGTTGGCTTCCCGCTCTTTCTCCTTATTAGATAAGAAGTCTGTAAAAATAGAAGGGTAAAAGTGGAAGTCAGGGAGCCTTCGAAAAAGTTAAATTCTGCAGGACTTGTTGGCCCAACGTGGAAACCAACGGCAAATAAGAACCCATGGGATGGTGGAGGGACAATGCTGGCTGGTCCTTAGTAATCCTGCACTAAAGCTCTAATCCGCTGAAATGTGTCGCAGAAACTTAGGTCAACAAAGTCAAAACGAAGGTTTCCAAATTACCATAACATTGTGACATTTCAGTCCTGGAAACAGGCACCCCGGGCCTCTCTGCTGCGTGTACCGTGCTCTACGATCACGCCTTTGATACGTTTGTGAAGATTCATGATGTTTTCAGACCGGTAACCAGAGAAAGGTGTTGGTTTGAAGCACGTGTCATGCTGTGTTTTATTGTAACAGGATTTTTAAAACCACCAGAAGAAATGACTTGGGGATTGACAGTCTCTCATTTAGAACGCCCTTTTTGCTGTGACAGTACGCTTTTATGATGACGCGATGGGATTTGAGATAAAAGAGGGTAACGATCCCTGTCCTTTTCTGCAGAGCTCAGGAGCACGTCCTATCGATACAGCAGCTCGGTGTTACAGAGGGAAAATGAGAGAAATCGGTTTGCAAGGCAGAAAGCACCCACGGCCAACTTCAGCCACAGCCTGACACAGCGCCCTCACCTGCTGGCACAGCCCACCATTGGGAGTGCAGCCGGAAGAGACCTCCTGGGTTCAGAATATTCTTCCCGTACCACCACCCGGCAGGAAACAACTTACGAAAAAACTTCCAACTTGCATGAGAAAACCTCCAAGAGTCCAACCAACTTCAGAACTTTCTCTTCAACAAACAGTCTTTTAAGAAATACTGAAGCGCCGGTGAAAACATTCCCCGAGAGGCCAAGAACCGCAGGTCCGCAGGACACCTCCGCCCATGCGGCCCGAGAGTCTGCTGTGGCCTCCAAGTCCTACCAAGAGCCCCGGGGCGACGTGTCGGCAGGCTCTTTCCAAAGCACTTGGTTGAGTGAGAGGACCGTTGTGACAAAGACAGAAGCTGAGGCCACGAAGGAGCAAGACAGAAACAGGCCCGAAGCCGTCCAGAAAAAGTGGGAAGAGAAGATGTTTGATTCCAAAGAGAGGGCTTCAGAGGAGAGAAACCTAAGGTGGGAAGAGCTGACAAAGTTAGATAAAGAAGCAAGAATGAGAGAAAGCCAGCAACTGAGGGAAAAGGGGAGAGGGAGGGAGTCGGCGCAGGAGAAAAGCGTGAGAGAGAGAGAGGTGCCCATCAGTCTAGAAGTCTCCCGGGAGAGCTCGCCACAGGTGGCCCCGAAAGCTTTCCAGATGCCCCCACGGGAGGACACTCGTGACGGTACCGGGAGAGGCGTGGAAACCCGGGAGGCCCGGTTCAGGGTGGGCCCTGGCGACACCGCCAGCTCGCCGAAGGGCGAGTCCACGACCGAAACCGTGGCAGAACACATCGTGTCCAGCATCCTGAAGCAATTCACCCAGTCTCCGGAGGCAGAGGCATCTGCTGATGCTTTTCCAGACACAAAGGTCACTTACGTGGACAGGAAAGAGCTTCCCGGCGACGGGAAAACAAAGACTGAGATAGTCGTGGAGTCGAGACTGACGGAGGAGGTCGATGTGTCAGACGAAGCCAGCCTGGACTACCTCCTGAGCAAGGACATTCAGGAGGTGGACCTGAAGGGAAAGGCGGCTGGGCAGATGATAGGAGACATCATCAACCTGGGTCTGAAAGGAAGAGAGGGCAGAGCAAGAGTCGTCAACGTGGAGATTGTCGAGGAACCCATGAGCTATGTCAGTGGCAAGAAGGCAGAGGAGTTTTCCACCCCGTTCGAAGTGGTGGAGGTGGACGATGTGTCTCCGGGCTCCAAGGGGCTTTTTGAGGAGGAAGAAGGTTACGGAGGAGCAGACGTCACATTCTCAGCAAACCAGCGTAAGAAGACCAGGTGGCCCCACGAGAGCGTAACCCATGTCGAAGAAGTCACGGAGGCGGGCGACTCGGAAGGGGGAGAGCAGAGTTACTTTGTGTCCACGCCCGATGAGCACCCCGGGGGGCAGGACAGGGACGAGGGCTCCGTGTACGGGCAGATCCACATTGAAGAAGAGTCCACCATCCGGTATTCTTGGCAAGATGAGATTGTGCCCGGGTCTCGGAGAAGAACCAAGAGGGAAGATGGGTGGGGAGAGACGGTTGTGAAACCACCGGACATCTTGGAAGCTCCGCTGGAAGAGGACGTGGGTCCTACTCACTGGAAAGAACAAACTAGAAGTGGTGAATTCCATGCGGAACCCACAGTTATCGAAAAGGAGATTAAAATACCGCACGAGATCCATATGTCCATCAAGGGGGCCTTCAAGGAGCCCCGACACCAGCTGGTGGAAGTGATCGGGCAGCTGGAGGAGAACCTTCCTGAGCGCGTGAAGGAAGAGCTGTCGACCCTCACCAGAGAGGGTCAGGGTGGGCCCGGGAACGTGTCCGTCGACGTCAAGAAAGTGCACACCTCTGGCGGGAGGGCCGTGACCTTGGTTGCCGAAGTCAACCTCTCAAAAACCGTGGACGCCGATCAGTTAGATCTGGAGGAGCTGAGCAAAGATGAAGCCGGGGAGATCGAGAAGGTTGTGGAGTCGGTGGTACAAGACAGTCTGGCCAGGCGGCACAGCCCGGGCCCTGGGAGCCCAGACAGGGAGAGTGCGGCGGAGACCCCAGGGGCTGGCCTACGCTTCAGGCGCTGGGCCACGCAGGAGCTGTACCGCCCCCACGGTGAGGAGGACGACGCCGGCCAGGCCTCCCCCAGCACGGAGCCGGCCGCGTCCCAGGGGCCCGTGTCGGCCACCGTGGAAGTCACCAGCCCGAGGGCCTTTGCCCAGTCACACGTGCTCGAGGATGTGAGCCGGTCTGTGAGGCGCGTTCAGGTAGCCCCCGCTGGCATCTGGAGGACTGAGCACATCTCCCACGAGGGACCCACGGCACAGGTGGTGGAGGTAAGTGGAGAAGGTGACCCAAGTCAGGCAGCTGGCTCGGCCAGCACCACCTGGTCTGGGAGGCACCTCACCCTGGGTCCTGATCAAAGTCAAGTCTTCCTCCCAGGATCTGTCCCTGCCTTTCAGGAGTTGGGGGGTGTGCGCAGGAGAGCCTGGCCCCATGGAGCTTTCCACGGACACAGAGAGGCACAGTATGTTTGGCTCCAAACAGTCTCACACTGAAAGGGAAGTTATTTTTCAGGCCCCATTTCTAAGGGTGGGGAAGGGCAGTGATTATCTTCAAACTGAGAGTCCGCGGGTTCCCAGACTTCTGTAAGGCCCCTTTGGGTCGGCCCTAAAGGGGGGTTCCATGAGCAAATCTAGGTCACAGCCCCCAGACAGAAGGGGGTTGTGTGTCACAGAAGCTTGGTCAGGGAAAGGCAGATGCATTGGGCAGGTCAAAATCAGGGTTGGGGACATCCAGCCGCTGAGCAGATCGTCCCCCTGCCCAGAGCACTTAGCAAATGGGACAGCAGTGCCCACGGACAGGGCTCGGTAGACAGGAGCCAGGCTGCTCATAGGTACTCTGTGCATGGCGAGATCCTGATGACCAGAAAGAGCGCCTTCCCAAGGGCTGGTTCCCAGTTTTCTCAGGAGGCCAGTGTGGGAGACGCATTAGGGGCAGAAGAGGCCTTGGGCATTAGCAGGTGCACTGGGCTGGGTCCCACAGCATCCAGAACCTCCAAACAGTGGTCTTCCAAGGACCCGTGTCTGAAACCCTTGCATCTGCTGGCTCAGTGGGCTCCCCCGAGCGAGGTAAATTAGCAGACAGCCACAGAGTGCTAAGGCAGGTGGCCCTGGAGCCCAAAGACACCCCGTTTCCCTTTCAGGTGGACGTGAGTAACATAGAGGTGACCCCCCGCTGGACACGAGAGACCACAGTCGTCTTCCCCGTGGGGACGGAAGCATCCGCACATGGCACCCCTGACCCTGGTGCCTGGAGAGATGGGGGCAGCGGGAAGGCCTGGGTGGCTGGCGGGAGCTTTCAGGGCTCTGCTGGGGATGGACACCAAGTCCCCGGGGAAAAGGGCAAGGAGCAGGCTGAGTTTGACAAGGCAGTGCGGCTACAGAGGATGGTAGACCAAAGGTCAGTGATTTCGGATGAAAAGAAAGTGGCCCTCCTCTATCTAGACAATCAGGAGGAGGACAGTGAGGGACACTGGTTTTGATAAATATTTCCTTTTCAATGGTGTTTGGTAACATGGCAACACACAGAGGCCTTTACTAATTAGAAGGAGGGAGGCTCACTCTTTATTAAGACGCCCCCTTTTTCTTTCACCAGAGTGCTCCGGGCGATGTCAATTTACATTATCATCTGTAAAGGTTTCAAATTAATTCACGTTGGAATTTTAAAGGCGTTGGAATTTTATTTTTGAGTTGGAACTTTGACAGAAATGTTTTTTATCATTTTAGTCTTCAAAGTTCCTTTTCCTGGAGTTTTCTCTCCACTCCTAGAGGCAGTTTCTACCAGTTCTGCTCCTGGTCACAGAAATGCCTCATGTCTGTATAAAATCATAATTAAGTATCCATAGGTCAGATGCCTATATGCTAACAAAATCCAAGTAATATATTTACGAGTCAATCTTATTTGCATGTGCTCATATGAAGTAATAAGACTAGCATTGGAAAGGAAAAATGTATGCATTTTTCTAAGTCTTCTCGAAAAGAAATCCTAGGAAAGAAGCAGCTTGCTTCCATTAAGGAAGAAAAAAGGCTCTAAATTATTTTTATCTTTAGGAAAAAGTTAAATTCACTTTAAGACATGAATGAATTGCTTTCTATGTGCAGAGCTTTATAAAAACAACATATATATAGTGTTTTATTTATGGAGAAGATGGCCTCAGCCTAATGTGATATTTCAAGTCCCTAATATACCTGCTATGTTTGCACAGGTCCCAGAACCCTGCACTGGGCCCGCGTGCAGGGCAAATGATCCTTGGAACTAGCTTCGGGTACTTTCTTGCAGCACTAGGTGGTTAAGTAGTGCGTGGTCTAAATAGCCTTTTTTGTTACAACCCAAGTTCTGGAGCTTCTCTGCACCTTAGCCCTAAGCACCTGAACATTGAATTTCCCTGGTGGGAGGCAGATCCCAAAGACCATAAAGAGAACATTGATGCTCGGACGAGAACTTGGCTTCCCAGATGGTCGTGCAGTGATCCCGGGAGCACAGGGCTCCTGGGCCCCCCCAAACAATCCCTTTGAGCCCACCGTGGAAGGGCGAGGTCTTTGTGAACTCAGAGCCTTGGGGATGGAGAACAAGCACTGACCTCGAGGAAGTTTTTGAGGTTTTAACAGAAATCGTTACCATTGGGGTCATTTGCTCAGGGGAGAGAATACTAATGTTAAGAGAAGATGATGTTTGGGCGGAAGGAGCTGCGCCCCCGTCTGGCTGTCCAGCACTGAAGCACCCAGGAGGGGCCCCCGGAGGAAGGCAAAGGCCCTACCCACCCCGGGCCATAGGGTGCCGACCTTCAAGTCCATACCGCAGAATCGAAGATATTAGAGGGAGGGTGCTTTTATTTTACATAAGGGCATTGCTTTTAAGGCTTCCATGTGCAAAGGTCTGGCCTCACGCAAAGATAGTATCTCTCACAGCATAGCATTATTTTAATCTGAGCTTGTTCCTGGTATATAAAGTTGAAGCTGTATTTCCTCTAACACAGAAGCTAGAGCTGCGGGTAGTGAGCTGAGGAATAACGATTCGAAGTGACAGCAGCCTAAGGTGGGTTATGATGATGGGGGTGGTGGTTATGGCACGAGGAGTCGGGGTGGGTGTCTCACAGTGTGGCTCTGCGGCCCCCAAGACCTCCATCTCCTCAGCCCCCAGAAATGGCAACAGCCGATAGTCTAGGGAGAGCGTATTTTCTTAGTAAGTGGAGGTGGGATGCATCAAAGCTTTCAGGATGATCTGACAAACACCGAATACGGGGGTAGACAAAGTTGACTTGCCTGTTTCAACCGTTGCTGTCAGCCGGATGAGCTAGTAACTGTCACAAACTGGTCCAGAGGCGACAGCTTTGCAAACAGAGGCTCCTTATTTCTAGTACAGAGATGGGCTGATTTTGTTAGCGGTAGTGGGTGATGGTGTCTGTAGAAGTAGAAAGGTATAGAAATCACCTTGATTTATTGGTCAAGGGGACAGCCTACGGGTTTGATGGTCAGACAGACTGAGGATGGGGAGAGTCTATTCTGTGAGTCAGAGTGGGCTTAGTTTAATGGCCCTCCCCTGCCTTGTGATCTGGTAAATGAGTACTAACGAGGACAGATGATTCCTATCACGACCCACCTCTATTTGGAAAATATCCGAGGCCTTCATTTATATCTCCATGTTAGAATGCGCCTCTGCCGGGAGTGCTCACGGATGCGGACTCCCGAGCCGTCTTTGGTTGCTCAATCTCGGAGCAGGGCAGGCGCTCCGCACTGTGCAGACCAGCCCCACAGATCCGGGTCCTTTAAAACCAGTCGCTCTGGAGGCAACAGAAATCAGCTCTGGGGGGGGGACAGAACCAGTATTTAACATTGTGGACACAGAACAATAATTAACAGAATGCTTTTCACCCTTCCGCGGGTGGTTGCAATATTGTGTGGTTTCGGGTGTATATTGAGGATGGAATCGTCGAAAAAGCTGATCTTTCTAAGCTCCCGTTCCCTACAGAGGGAGATGTCACAAGAATGTATAAAAATAAAAATCGGAGGGAAAAAACAAACCCCACCTTGTTCCTGGAGAGAATGAATGTTTTCTAGTAGCTGTTTTTGTGGTTTCTATGTAAACTCTAATTAAAATATATGTGTTTACATGCATGGGTTTTTCTGGTTTTTTTTTTTTTTTGTCTTTTTTGTTTTTTTTTAAATAGTGGCACAGATTCACTGGGGAGACTCTGTATGAGAAGTTCCAGTCCCTTACCTGAATTAGAACTTGGCATTGTTCACACAGAACTAGAAAGCATGGCAGAGCAAAGCCCAGCTGGCTTGTATCCAAATACAGACGGGATGGTCTGTGGTAAGAATGTGGTCATCCCAGCCTGGAAGGCTAGTACCATAGGGTGACCGTTGTTGCCTGGGATGGAGGTGTCTCCCGGGATGTAGGACATTCAGTGCTAAAACCAGGATAGCCCGAGGCATGGTTGGTTCACCCCGTGAACCCAGTGCAGACTGGAGGGGTTAGTAAATCATGGCTGTTTCTTAGATGCTTGAAAAACTTGCAGCTGTTTGAGACACAGAAGAGTTTTTAGATACCCTTACCTTAACTTTTTACCACAAAGACCACGAACATCTATAGTCTTCCTCTTGTGCTGAAGTTAACACATTTAATAGACAGGAGACATTTGGGTGGGCCATTCCTAAATTCATTCTTTCCTGGGGTAGGGATGCTATTATTTAAAATGCATTTTAGTTTCTATGACCCCAAGACTTTATCCTCCAAGAAAGACAGAAAGGAAGAAGTCCCGTAAGAATTCACTATTTTTCCCCCAGAAGCCCAGCGTGGACTCCTGTGTGCCCAGGCTGTGGCCACAGCATAGACTGGGAGGCTCACACAATGGACATTTATTTCTCCCAGTTCTGGGGGCCGGAAGTTGAAGATCGAGGTGCTGGTGGATTTGGTGCCTGGTTGGGGCTGTCTGTCCTCTTTGCCCGATGGTCATCTTGTGGGGTCCTAACATGGTGGAGACAGCGATCGTGTCTCGTGTCCCTTTTGATCAGGGCACTAATCCCATCCATGGGGCTCTACTCTCACATATTCATCACCTCCCAGAGGCCCCCCATTTTCACACTGGGGATTAGGGCATCATCAGGAATTTTGGACGTACACGTTCAGTCCCTGGCCGACTCCAATGTGATATATATTCAAAATGCCTAGTCCACCATCCACGTTGAAACCCAGGTCTTCAATCAGATGGGACACTTGGTGAGAGGTGACCATGCCTCATGACTTCATCCCACCGCAGGCCTGTCTGGGTGAGTGGGTACCAGTAGGGGTGGCCGGGGTGGGCAGCTGTCACAATTTCCAAAGGGGACTGGGGACCCTGCCTCTCTCTCTGCCCTGTCATGACCTTTTGGGTTTATTTCCCCCATCAATTCTTGAGGCAGCATCCTGCACAAATGGAACCAGAGTGGCTCTGGGTTTCCCACTGGGTGCTGGAGAGGAAGGGGGTCTGTGCCTCATCCCACTGCCATCTTAGCCACTAGCCTGCAGCTTTGCTGGGCCGCAGTCCATGGGATGAGGGTGGGAAGGAGCAGGAACAGCGCCGCCCACAGCCCATTCCCACCCACTGCGTACTCTGCCCTCCTCTATCCAGCACTGGCTCTCATTGCTGACAGTGTGAAGGGAAGTGCTCAAAATTTCCCACTCTGCTTTTCCATTCTTGAGTGGTGATGGCTTCCCCCAGCTCCCGCAGGAGACTGAAGACCACTGTGGGACACGAGCGCTTGTCCCACTCCACCCTCCCCACCTCACATGTTGAACCCAGAGAAAGCCAGGGGAGTAGGGGGCCAAGGGCTGCACTGACTTGAAAAAAAAAAAAAAAAGCTCCAGAGGGCAGCCATGTTTCTTCTGCCCAGAGTAGAGGCCAGCGGAGTCAGCGGCCTTCCCCCACTGCCTCTCCAGGCCAGCCTCACTCCTGCTCAGCTGCCTTCACTCCCTTACCCTGCCTCTCCTGACCTCTAGCCCATTTACCACCATTCACTCCCTGCTTGTTTTACTGGGCTCTTTCCCTCTGTTACCAATCTCACCATTATGTTTAGTGCTGCATCCATGCTGGGGGGCAAGCTCTGAGGGATGGGGACATTGTGTCTTGGTTACTGTTGTGTCCCCAGCTCTTGCCGGGTGTTCAGCCCCATTTGGTGAATGACTGCATGAGTAAAGAGAAGCTTCCTCGTGCTCCTCTCTAGGCTCCAAACAACTCTGAGGCAGGCTTCATTTTCAAAACACCAACCCCAGCACTTCCAAGATTCCTCTCATTAGCATTTTATTTTCAATCCCTATTATCTTCCTGTAAGAAGGGGGGCTTTTTCCAGAATTTTATTGCTCCAAATCTGACTCCAGGTCTAGGCCAGGGGCTCTCTATGCACAGGTGCCATACCCTGTATTCACACACCAGAAGTTGTCAACTTGTGAAGAGAGGCTCTGCAGCCCCAGTAGCGCCGATGGGTAAAAAATTTTATTGGCAAGAAAAACCACTTGGGCGGTAAAAAAAGAAAAATTCTTTATAGAAGCACCAGATCACCCCCAAGGGTGTCCACTGTCAAAATGTGGCCCGCAGGAAATCCGCAGTATCTGTGGCCTGCGGGAGCAAACAGCCCTAACAGTCTGTCGAATTCCTTCTTGCTGGAGAGATTGATAGGTCACCCTCAGTGTCAGCGCCCAGGCATGACCAAAGCTCTCTCTGGGGGCAGGGGAGTTTGGGGGGGTGGGTGGTCTCAGTCCGCCATGTTGGGCCTGGCCTTCCCCAGCATAGTGTGCTGGGCCACGCCAGTGTAGAACGCGGGTTTGGCTTTCGGGGCCTGCCTGGACTTCACAGCCACCTCTGGGGCCCTGCAAAGGAGCAGAAGGTGGGGTGAGTGTGGTGTCCCTCAGACCTCCTCACGGTTCCCCCACCAGGCCCAGCCCTTGCCGCAGTGAAGGGGAGCATTGAAGTTGCTGAGCTATAGGTCCTGAAGGGGCCTGGGGAGGGAGGGAAGATAGAAGAGAATCCTTGCACAGGATTTTTTTTCTCCTGCTAATTCCTCACGACCATTGTCACTGTGTTGAGAGAATCAGCCCTTGGCTGGCTCAGTGAGCCAAACACAGGCAGAGAGGTTGGGGCTGGAGGCCTTGCTGGCTCAGGGCTAAAGGGGCCCCAGATCAGGATGTCAGCCCAGAGACAGTGCCCCCTGCTGGCTGGCCTCCTCGCCTTCCATGCTTCCAGGATCTTTCCTTGGCAATCTGCCCACAGGCTCTGGGCAACCCAGGCTCAGTGAAGGTGTGGCCTGTTCTCTGCTCACTGGCTGAGAAAGACTTAGGACCAGCCTTCATGGAGAAGTCAGAGGGCTCTCAGCGCGCCACCCCCTCCCCCAACCCTGACAGGCACCCTGAGAACTAAGAGAAGCCAAAGCAGGCCTCCAGCAGGCCAAGCCAGAGCACACTGTGCCCTTGCCTTCCAGCAGGGGAGAGGATGGGCAGGCGCTGGTCTCCAGGAGGGAGAATCCTAGTATGTGTTTCTGACATGATTCAAGAGCTAATCTCTTCTTAGTATCTGGGCAAGGGAGCTATTTTACAGCTGGGTTTTCAAAGGAACCACGGGTCCTGCCCAGTTGGTGAGTTATGGGAAGTCAGTTAATAAAACTTTCCACGGAAAGCTCCACAGACCCTTACAGAACCAGCTTCCTTTGAGATCGGAATGGCAAAGGAAACATTGTAAGTGGAAGCCAACTCACTTGGACAGGACGTCCACTGTCTGCTGGGTGGCCAGAGTCCTCTTGTCCTGTGGTCCGTACAAGAGGGTCTGAATCTGAAGACACTGCAGGACACCAAGTGATAATCATGAGGTCATACAAGTGCCACTGTGAGCGTTTTGCAGGAAAAACAAGTCTCTCTTGAATAAAGACCCATGCCTGACCTTCAATTTGGATCCTCTGAGGGATCCAGAAAACACATGTAAAGTTTTAACACTATTTCACAGAACTCCCTGGGACAAGCTGTATGCAAACTATGTTTATAATCATTTTAGAAGATAAGGTAACAGCATTGTTATTGACTGGGGATGGCCTCTAGTTTCCATTTTAAAATGAGCCTTGGGGCGCCTTGGTGGCTCAGTGGGTTAAGCCTCTGCCTTTAGCTCAGGTCATGATCTCAGGGTCCTGGGATCAAGTCCCACATTGGGTTCTCTGCACAGCAGGGAGCCTGCTCCCCCCACCCCGCCCACCTGCCTCTCTGCCTACTTGTGATCTCTGTCTATCGAATAAATAAAGAAAAAAATCTTTAAAAAAAATAAATAAAATGAGCCTTATAATAGCCCAGAAAAGTTTTTTAATGCTTTTGCCTATTGTTGTTGTTGTTGTTAAAAAATGCTTTATCTTATATGCGATTTTTATATTCATTACTATACAGTAATTTCTTAGGAGTTAACTGTTCAGCCTATGTCTTTACCCAGGGCTAGCTCTGGCTTGACTTCTCCCCTCTCCATATTGGGTTGCCATTTGGTTGCCTGGACCAGGCAAGGGAAAACTCAAGGAAAGGATAAAGATGAAAGTTGTGATCCCAAATGGCCAAAAACCAAAAATGGTTTTCATCCAGAGATAGACAAGTAGACCAATAGGACATGGAAGAGGATCCAACACTTGAGAGATGACAGAAGTGGCCCTGAAGGGTCTAGGGGCAAGAATTGAACTGGAAAATAAGTGGAACTTCTGGATGAAAGCATTGAAGATTTATCTTTATCATCTTGAGGCATGGAAGTATTTCTTAAACAAGATCCAGACAAACCAAAAGTAGGAGACTGATAAAATTTAACTGTGTTAAAATTCAAAACATCTATGCACCAAAATTCACCTTAAGCAAAGCACAAAGAGGGAAAGGACAAAAGAAATGAGGGAAAATACTCACACAATACTGAGAAGGGATTAGTATTAAGAACTTATAAAGAACTCCTATAAGGTATAGGAAAAGCAACCTGCCAATAGAAAATAATCAAGACCGGGACGCCTGGGTGGCTCAGTTGGTTAAGCGGCTGCCTTCGACTCAGGTCATGATCCCAGCGTCCTGGGATCGAGTCCCACATTGGGCTCCTTGCTCTGCGGGGAGCCTGCTTCTCCCTCTGCCTCTGCCTACCACTCTGTCTGCCTGTGCTCACGCTCTCTCTCTAACAAATAAATAAATAAAATCTTAAAAAAAAAAAAAAAGAAAATAATCAAGACATAAACATATCATTCAAACAAGTTGAAAACTAAGTGGTAATAAACACACCTAAGCTCACTAGTAATCAGAAGCGCAAACTAAAACTTCAATGAGGTTGTCCCTTTACCTATTACATTGCAAAAGTCCTAGCCTGATCATGATAATACCAAGCTCTGTCAAAGGTATTAAGCAAGAAAAACTTTTTTTAATATTGATTGTGGGTGTTGAAATTGGTATGACCACTTTTTAGAACAACTTGGCAATATTTAGTGATGGATAGGTAAATTGTGACATATATGTATTGTATTTGTAAAGTATCATATAGATTTTTGATGTGCTTTTATGTGTCCATGTAGATGAATCTCATGATCATAGACCAAAAAAAGCAAACTAAAGATGAATGCATTATATATTGTGTATTATTATAATATATATTATATATATCATTTATATGAAGCTTAAGAAGCATGTAAAGCAAGGCCACAGTAAAATAATTAAGAAAACATGAGAATGATATCAAATTCAGGACAGTGGTCATCTGGAAGTGGGGTGGGAAAGGGAAGAGTGGGGACTTCAACTGTAGGGTCATGTCTTATTGCTTTTATTGAATTAATGAGCTCAAAGGTGTTTGTTACATTCTTCATGCTTTTCTGCATATTTGAAATGTTTGATATTTTTAAAATATTGAATTGGTTTTTCTACACGGTAACAGCTTGAGTCAAAAAAAATTGTAAGAGTTTGAGGACTTTGTACTGAAGACTGTTTATTCGTTCTGATCTGCCAACCGTTTTTAGGTCTTTGAGAAAATTCAAATGCAAGCAGCCAAAATGCTTTGTCTTTGTAAGATGTGGAAAATATCAAAATCGTCTGAATGTTTGGTTCAATCTGAGGAACTGAGAAGGTGGTTCTGGAATCTGAGAATCGGGCTGTCTTCTGGAGGAAAGAAATATTATTAGACGAAGCTATGACAGGGTTCTCTTTTAAAATAACAGATCGTCATTCTGTTGGCTGAATTATGTAACACCAGGAATTAGCATCCTGGTTCTGTTATTCCATTTAGCAGATGATCCAAATTCTCCAAAATCCCACCCCCTCCATCCAGCAAGCCCCAACCATTCTGAATCTGCACTGGGGCCATGGCCAGGTCTGGCCTAGGCAAAGTGCTGCTCATTCCATGGGGTTCAGCCAACACTGCTTTAATCCACAGATAAACTGTGAACTTGGGAAATGCAGGAACCTGAGAAAGTTCTGTACTGCTTTTGGGGACGGATTTCACCGACACCCACGACACTTGATGGGAACTCTTCCAGCCCTCCTCTCCTCCGTGGCTCCCGGCTGTTGGAAGCCTGGGGGCGTCTCCACACAGGGCCCGGCAGAGACTGTGCTCAGGAAGGGACTATAAGCAGGAAGCAAACAACCTTTCCCCTAGCTCCAGCTTGGCAGTAAGAGGCCTCCATCCAGGGCTAACATTCTTGCCAGAACGAACTTCATTTTCTCCTATGTGGCCAGAAATACCTTAATTCAGTGTAAAAGATCAGGTCTAATTTTAAACCCACCCGACTCCTCTGTTTACATATTTATGAGTGCCCCCGATGCAACTCATTTTGAGATGAGCTGATGTCAACATGCCTTGGTGCTAACTCGTTCACCATGACATTAGAATTTTACTGACATTATAATGATTATTTGAGACGGTCTGAGGTCTCCATTTACCCTGCCTTAACAGATGGCCTCCAAAATCCAAAAGTCAGGAAGAATTTCCATCCTACCCCTTTGGTTCCCAAAGTTTCTCCCTGGCCCCTCATTCCCTAGGGAAAGACATCCTACTAGCTAAATAGTCACAGATTCCTGGGAACAATGACATGGCAATTGACAGAGCTTTAGACAAATTCTCACTGGTTTAACCAGCGACCTCCATTCTAGACCTCAGGTTCTGATCCTTTTCCCCGGGGGAAAATGTTTGTAGAGAGACTAGAGGTAGGAGAGAGGGTCATAATCAATACTCAAGCCCAAGAGAGGCGAGCCCCTCCCCCATCCCCATCCCTACTCTTAGACCCCCGGTAGTCAAGACTCTTCTCTTCCTGGCATTAATAGATTTTTATAAAGGCTACTTATCCTCATTAAGAAGATCTGCCCCAAATTCTAGCTGAAGTGAGAAGAGACGTAAAGGGTTGCTAACTAAGAGAGGGAAATGGGTCCTCAGCCCCCGCCTAATCTCCTTTACAAGGACAGCTCCCATGGACACCAAACCAAAGGCGCCACGTCAGAATCATTCACCCATGAGCTGGAATAGTCTCCAAGAGCTACCTTTTTAGAAGAGTGAAATAACCTCTCTCTGACCCTTGCTAGAAAATGTTTACATAACCACGTATTTATCTAAGAAACATAAATTCAATTTCTCAATGTTGTGCTCCCCTCAGCTAAATTTGTTTAAGCATTTTTGCGTGAAATAGGTGTTCCGATTTTTTTGTTAAAAATATAGACATCGACAGAGACCGAGTCAATAGGTTGTTCACTGAACCTACTGGGAGCCACGCATTGTAAATACCCCTCTGAACTCAGACTATATGGAGCCCAAAGACACGGCTGGATGACAGGGCTCCAGGGATCCATCAGCTACCGAAACCTCCAGCAAGGGAGCTTCCTGGTGGGTGCAGCGTGATAAACCTTCGCCCTCCGAAGCCAGGCAAGTTCCGTAGTTGCAAGAGTGCTGTTGGCTAAGTGCTGCTTCGCTTAGTCATTCATGGTTGCCGAGGTCATTTAGAAACAACCTTAAGCATTTGATGTGGAATTGAAAAAAAGTCTTTTTGAAGTGACTGAGTTTGGAGAGCTAGGTTCCTAAGGGGCTCCTGAGACAAAGCAGCTGGGATAGGAGCCATTGGTTGGTGTCTTCCTAGCTCTAGTCTACCTCTGGGCCCCGGAGCTCGCGCCCTTCCCAGTGTGGTTGGGGGAGGGGGTGGCTTGGCGGGGGCAGGTCTGGCATGGAAGTTAGCTCACTCAGTCTACTTGGGCTTCAGAAAACCCCAAGAGCGAACTACCCTAACTCACAAAGAAGCCTATCTCCTGGTTTGGGCCAGAATCTCTGTTTACGTATTTATGAGCGCCTCTGAAGCAACTCATTTGTCCTGACCGCCTGCAAGGCCATTCCTTTATTTCCCAGCAGAACTGGATTGGGGGGGGTGCTTAGCCCTCCCCTCCTCCATCAACCTCCAGCCTTAAGTCCTAGAACTGCCTCACCCTTCTTATCAGGGAATGTCAGACAATGGAATCGCTGATGGGACACGTCCTCCTTACTAACCGAGGCCGGGCAGCAAGGCCATCAGCTGAAGAGCCAGCTGCAAGGCCACGTGGCTCAGTTATGGAAAAGTGACAGACTTTGTCCCGCCTGGTAAGGGTCTATGCCAAGCCTGTCATGCTATCACATATGTTTTGTGATACAAAGCCAGGGAAAGGTACGTTTATAAAGAACGACTCTCACGATATGAAGTCACTACTCCTCTTAACATGTCATCCGTCAAAGGAGATACTCCCTGCCTGTGACGGAGAATTACCCAGAAACTCACGAACTGTGCCTCTGTGTTCATGTCAGTTCTCAAGGCTGGTATTAAGAAAAAAAAGATAGCA